TCATCCCTAGGTGTAGAATGGGCATGATGTGTAGAAAGGGCAGCACTCCACCCCGGGCTCGCTCTCTCAATCCATTCGATGGTAAACAAATTGGATCCAGGGGTGCTTTCGCGACGTAGGTCAAAATGATCCGGATCAAAATGATCCGTGCTATGATTGGTCAAATCTGGAATTTCATTGAATAAAATTTCAATGAGATGCTACGAAATTTCAGATTTGACCAATCATAGCACGTATCATTTTGATCCGGATCATTTTGATCTACGTCGCGAAAGCACCCCTGGAGCCAATAAAGAGAAGATGATGTAAGGTGCGTTCGGGGAGCGCGCTTTCAGCGCTAAAAGCGTCTTCTATCTTTGTTCGACGTACAGTGAGTGACGAAGATAGACTGACGTTTTCAGCACTAATAGCGTCTCCCCGAACGCAGCCGTAGATGTATGTACGTATGTACATTCGTCGATTGCTGATTCAATGAATCAGCCGGGTTTGTACATACAACGTAAATGTTTACGTATTACATTTATCGTTTATTTCCAAGTGATTTATTGTAACACAAATAGTAAAGAAATGTCATTTCCTTTAACCTTCATTTGTCGATGTTTTTCTGGCATCGCAGAAAGAAAATTCGTATAAACAGTAACAATTTGAAAAACAATATAAATGACTCTTGAACATCTTGTTGTTCTTTCAAAATTAATAATACGTCCATAAATTATTATAAAAATTATATCGAATCAAAAATGAAGTAATATATTCTTTGATGGGTTTTTTTAGTTATGACTTTAAAGTTTCTGTGTTAATTCTGTGAATTGATAAGAAAAACAAATCTATCTAACAAAGTGCTGGCGTAACGATTTCTCTTGGATGTACGAAAGATAGTATACGGATGTTCAATAATATCGATGACTAAATATTAATTATCGCAACACGTTTTCCTAAAGTGTCCAGTATCAGTTGCACGCATACATACACATGATTTTTTTAACCAACATTATTCCATTCTTCCTTTTTACTTTGTCGTGCCAGATTGCTTGACCTTCCTCTTTGATATCTTTATCGCACTCGTTGCTCCCCGGTGCCTGCATTCTCTCTCCCTCGCTCCAATTGGTGAACGCGTCAGAATAGCACCGTGACTTGAGCGACTCGAGGGTCTCGAGGCAGATTTCAGTATCGTGGCAGCTACCAGCAACTACTGACGACTCTGCAGTGTGACAAGCACATAGTGTACAGGACCGAGCAGGTAATCGATGACTAACAAGATCCTTTTTGTTCTCTTGCGCCAAGTTTTCTGAGAAATGCCCTTAACGCTTGTACATTTTATATTTATGCTAAATCCTCTCTTTACAGGTCAAATGTGTACAGAATACATTTGCGTTCTTTCATGAGTGTATCCCTGTATTGTGAAGTGCATTACAAGAATATTCATTCATGTTATAAAACGTTTTTGTCGATGGGAAAATTAGATAGAGTCTGTCGATATGGATACAACTAGATGCTTTCCCCATGCACTTTTTCCCAACTTTCCATATAAAATGCTCAAATCTGCTCAACTGCCTTCTTTCGTAATCAGTATTTCATGTGCAATTCTTCATGTTCAGAAACACTTTATGATCGTAATATTGATTTTTAATTTCTCACGATTCTTCTGGCGATAACGAGTAAAAAGATGTATACATACATGTGGCGAGTGCGTGTGTATGTGTTAATGGGAATCTCCCTCCTCTCCAACGGTATTGCGTCGTGTTTGATCCAAGGATAGCAACGGTACGAGAGAATACCACGAGGTGCCAAGTTCGGAATTGTCATAAAACTCAAACTACAAAATAGACATCCCGATAGAAAAGTATTGGACCGTCCACCGTATAATTTGTAATTTACAATTTCCTTAGAAGAACTTTAAATATAATTTTAACAACGATGAGAAGTAGAAACTTGGCCAAGACACATTAACGACTCGCTATCAACATTTTCCTTTATATCTTTATCAAATCTATTCATTTTCTTTTCAGAAAATGTCGCCGCGCGCCATGTTTAGTTTTTTTTCTTGGGCGTTGCTACTAATTGCCATTATTCCGAATGCGGCATCTTATAACAGTAAGTAATGACAAATAAATTTCTCATTCATTGAAATTGGTACAATTATTCGATAATATATCGAGAGGAAATATCCTTTTTTTTCCCCATTCTTCAGAATATGGAAGAACCTGTAAGGACATTGGCTGCCGTAGTGATGAAACGTGCGTGATGGCTGAGGATCCTTGTACCGGCTATACAGATAAATGCGGACGTTATCCGACCTGTCGCAGAACAAGTGGTGAGAAACGACAATATAGTAGCTCATTTATCTCAACAATTTCAACAATTGATCTATAAATGTAGTCATACATACGTATACATATTATTGTCTGTTTTCTTATTTCAACAGACAAAGAAAGGAAAAATACCTACTGTTGTATCGTTGACATATTAAAAACAAACATACATTTGCATGGAAGTAACGAATTAATTTTATTTCCCTTAAAAATTCTCCATTTTAACTCTTTATTCGATTATAACAACACTATTTTATAAATATTTAGTATATTGTATTGTAACAGTTAAAAAAAATCTTTACAGACGCAAGTTGTACCAGTATGGTTTGCGGAGAGAACGAATATTGCAAGAGCGAAAATGGTGCGCCGAAATGTGTGAGAAAGTCTACGGGATTAGGTAAGTTGTCATAGTTTTGTATTTAGCATTCAATATTCGACACATTGCGAGCTTGAAAACGTAACAGCGATTGGGCTAATGCACGAATGAAATGCATGATAAAAGGTCCATCAGGCAAAATTAATTATTTAAAATATCAATGTCTTCATGCTTGTCAGAAAAATAAGTCCTCAGAATTATGGGTCTCATGTATTTCATAGCATGTATGGGGTTGGAATGAGAAAGGCATGATTGTTGAGAAAGACAAAAAACGGACAAGTCAACTTGATCCATTTATTACGGAATCGTGTCTTGTGTCAATTTCTATGCTAAAGCATACATTTTTCAAAACAGTTGTCCAAGTGAAAAACAACTTTTCATACAAAAGCAGTGTTAATACTATTTTTCCTAAATTTATCATTCATGTGTACTAAGAGACGAAATTTTTAATAATGTCAACAACATCACTGAAATAATTGTTTTTGTGCTATGATATAAATTTTTTAAATTCCAATTTTATTGAAGATGTAATTGTGTTGGGATTTATTCTCAAGTATATTGGTAATACGTCCCTCCTCTCTTTCTGATTTAATTCATATGATTCGAAATAGGTGAATATAAAATATATATGCATATACACTTTTTTTTCTAAAATTATATGAGATTTAATGGTTATAGTTTATTACCTAATTTTCATTAAGACATGTCTAGATATAAACTAGTGTAACAACAAAACGGTATTTTGTGTGTGTTATACTTTTTCTTTTAAATTAAATATAAATAATTGCAAATCGTCTTTGGGACAATGATAGTTAAAAGACATTTGATTTTCCAAATGAAACAAATTTCTTTCGAAGGAAAAACTTGCTGATATTCTTGCTCAATCGAAACTTGAGCAAAAGGAATAAACAATTTGAATATTTAATATGGCGATAAAAGTTGAAACTTTATTACAACTCGTTATCATCTTGCAATGTTTCGTACAATTGAATATTCGTGTTTGTCAAAAATACGCACAGTACGAAGTGAGTGAGCGTCCTTACAGGCTATGAATCAGCTGGTGTTTCTTACGTGAACGGCGAGCGAGTGAACGGAAATAACGCAAATCCGTACGCCAATGCCAACGCTCCACCAGTACCGGCATATCCATATGGTGATAACAGTGAACACCATCGATCTTCTGTTGGAAGTAACTTGGGATATCCACCGTATCCCAGTAACACCGGATCCTCTGCACACGGATATCCATCGTACCCACAATCGACGAATCAAGCCGGTCGTCAACAGGACTTGGGATATCCGCCATATCCAACACAAAACAGAATGCCTACACCGGGGCAATCCGCTTATCCGGGCTATCCGCAAAACAACGGTTATCCTCAGCCTCCAGCGAATTATCCACAGCATCCAGGATATCAAAATTATCCCTATCAAAATTATCCGAACCAACGTGGATACAACTACAACGCCAATTCCATTCATCGTAGGAATACTGCATCAGTCAATGCTGTTGCTTCGATAATTCTCGTTGGATTTTCTGCTTTATTTCTCCTTGTCACGACACGATGATGATCGTCTGTGTCGTGTTTTATCATTATGATTATTGTTATGCTATTCTTTATCTTATTTTTATTGCAGCGTAGTCCATGACTATTAAGAAAAGTATTTTGCAAAATATTGTATAAATATTTGTACAGATATTTTATAATACAAATCAAGCGCGTATGATATTCTTGAAAGATTATTTTGTGATAGTTTTACAAGTTTTTTTATATTTATAACTGCACCAGCATGTATATTCGGAATTAGTTATACGATAGCAAGATAAGCGTAGGTATACATATATTGATGACGATGAATAATCTCACAATATTTTCTTGTAGGATACAAATTTTACTTTTATTCGCCGACTTTGTTTCAATGCACGAGGTAAGAAACTCATGGTCAACACTTGTGTTGGAATCGTCTCTATCCAAATTTACCATCCTCGATTAGGGGAATCTGTAGTCCTACGGAAATATTTCAATTTATTTCATGCATGTATGTGTACGTGTATGTACATAATTTATAAGAAATGCTTTTCAAATACATTATTTTCACTCAACTGCTCGTTATTTCTTCATATTATCATAATTTGGACGGTTTATAAAACGCTTTATGAGCAATTCTTATTCAACACGGGTAATAGGTATTTAACGGGTTATCAGCTTGAACCTTGACACGTACGTTATCTCTACATACGCCACATATCGCGTAAGCAAATTTAAATGAGCTGCTACTGCGTCTTACCGATATTGTTTTTCATTTCTTTCCATTTAAAACTGTTTAATTACATCAGCAAATGTATATCATTTTATAACAATTGTGGGTATAAACACATGTATTTCTTTTGCATGTATAAATCTCTTTACGTACAACATAATTCATTTCTAACGAAAGATAGACAGTGTTGCAAGTGGTTGAACTGGTATGCATACAGAAAATCGTACTCGTTATTATAACGGTTTGTGGAAAGTTAGTTTTATCGTTTTCCTTGCGTAAAAATATATGTTAAGAAGAAACAATCGGGGAGATAAAGATTATCTTGTTGCAAGAAACATTGATAAAATATTGGTAGTAACTGGCCAAGTAGTAAAAGTCTTGACAAAAACTTTCCTATTAGATTTGTTTCATTATATTATTTAACAGCACTACCTCCCGGACTAACTCAAGTGTCGCGTCAAACGACACCAAGAGTGCCATCGCCACCGCCTAGATCTTCATCATACGGAGGAAGATACAACGGTTACTCTGGCTCCAGAAATACCGTAGGTGACGGTTCCATCTTCAATCGTTTATTCGGCAACGACCATCGTCCTCGGCCCACTAGCTCTGTCAGAAGCACTACGCAAGCAAGCAGGAACAATTATTACACTACTCACACTCGCGTGGATAGCCATGGGAACAGAGTCTGGACATTTTCTGGTTAAAAATTCATTTATATGTTCCGTTTATCTTACAACGTTATTTACTTTTAATTCCAAAATGTTACAAAAATGGTGCCAATATTAATGTTTATGTATCATTTACGTATAGCACTCTGAATTATATTACTTTAACCTTTATACTAACAAATGCAATGTAATGTTAATTACAAATAATTGAAATATAATAAACTTTGTTTATTAAGATTATTAATTTTTGAGTAATACACAGTTTTAGATTACATTGACTTAATTGTTGGTGATCATATTCTTTTACCGCATATACAGTTACATAAAACTGCTCTTGACTCTCTTTTTCTTCAGTTCGTTAAACCGGTTAAGCTATTGCATCGAGAAATCGTAGTACAATTTATTAAAAGATATAATTATCTTTTAATTCGAAGCTACTTGAGAAATCCTTTTCTATTATTTTTTAATTTTTAATATCCAGTATAATTGCAATATAATCCAAATAATTTGCTGATTTCATTTCCGTTGCTTTAAAATATTATGAGTAGAGCACCTTTGCTTCCATGAATTGAGCCAGTCAGTCACTATAGAGAATCTGCACGCATACAAATGTCAGGTCTGCACCCGTGCATGTATATAAAAGAATTGTTATATATTCAATATCCTTTGAACCCATTTAGAATGTCGACACAGCTTATAATACGTTTAAAAGGTAACTCAAATATATGATAATATGTTATTATTTTAAACATCTTATAAACATATGTTTGCTACAGTGCAAGCCTTATCTGCATGTGTGCATGATAAATGCCAGATTCAACAATTACTGATGCTTTATAAAAATATTCCCTCTTTATACCTTTTAAGTACTCTTTGTCATTGTTACTGTATGCAGAGAACGATGATATGAGGACACGAACAGTTCCAAAACGGCAAACTAGTTATCCGACAGAAACTGATACACGTGGCTCTTCAGACACTTTTAAAAATTCGGACGGCCAATCGTCTCCCGCTA